TTCTAATCGAATTCTTAAATCGTGAGAGATCAAGATTTACAATGACTTTTTTTGTGATTATATGTGTAACTGGTGACTTTGTTTTTTCAATAATAAAAACTTAATTTTTCAATAAATTTATTTTTTAAAAATTTTAAGTGGGTTTCACCAATAACAAGTCCAAGTTTGAGAATATGCTTTCTCTCACTCTAATCCCTTTAGAGGAAAATTCAGTTTATTTCGAAAGAGTGAAACATAGAAAAAAAGCAAAAGGTGCCACCTTTGAGGTCAAGAAATGAGCTGCCAAAATTTACTACCTCGGAACTTTCAATATTCTTCATTTATACATGACAGAGCAGCAGAAATGTCTGTAGCTCTGTAAGAACTCCTAACTGAAGCCATCCTTCGGCGCCCAGAGTAAAGACTGAAGAGTAGTTGACAACTTTTCCCATGGTGGGCTAAGACTGGTTGACAACTTTTCCCATGGTGGGCTCTTCTTCCAGTCCCCCATGGCTTGGATGGCAACAAAGGCATCTCTCCCCTTCTAGATTTTTCTAACACATAACCATGTTCTATTGGAACCCTTTTCGTTTTCACATTTAAGAAGGATCTATCATTTTGGCTTTTTTTTTTTTTTTTACTTATTAAGAGGTAATATTTTTTTATCCTTTAATTTATTTTAATTGTATATTATGTGAGTCAAATTTAAAATTTTTATTTTTAATAAAAAAATTACCATTAAATTATTTAAGTTATCAAATAAAAAAATCTATCATGTTAGCCCTAGTTTGGTGGACTAAAACCAGATCTCCATATTCTTTCACAAATCCAAATACATAGAGAATACCATAATATATATATATATATATATATATGTATAGTGAAAAATGACTTTGTACTTGAGCTGTGAGGACCACCATAACCATTTATATAATCTCCTTTTTTCAACTCACACCTTAGCATAAATGAACATTACTGATGACTTTCTTTGTCCAATCTTTTTTTTTTTTTTAATTTCCTCTTTTTTCTTCAAGGTAAAAGAAGTAAGTCTGGCCATTCATCCCAAACATGTATCATAATTTAACTTATAATGAAATCATAAATTCTCAAAATTCAAGGCGATTAAACGGATTTTAACTGAATTAGAGAAGTGATGGCCAAAACAAAAAAGACCAAAAAATAAAAAAAATAAAAACCTGAATTAGAGTAGTGAAACGAGTCTAAAACAAAGCGCCGAGTAAAATGGTTTAGTATGAAGGTAATTGACAATGAAAGGAAGTCGTGTGTAGAGGACAAGCCTAGTTGACTAGTGTAATTTTGGGCACATGGTGGGCTCATTGGCCTGTCAATCAGTGCAACTTTCTTCTTCTGATTGTCTTTCCAATCTTCTCCTAGCTTTGCCGACTCTGCCTAGAGCCATCCAATACAGGTCACAACACAAAACCGCGTTCGCTTCGCTTCTATTGTTATGATACAATCATTTTGCAATGGGCTATGAATAGGGTTGTTAATTACTCAAGTGGATTATTTAGGTATTTATGCATAAACTTGTCTTAGATACT